AGTGAGGAGTAGGAGTGAACATTGAAGGGCTTAGGAAAGGAACAGAGCACTCTGAGAGATATATTTCCAAAAGATTCACCCAGTTTGTTGGGTGGAGAGTAGATGGAAGGTAAATGGATTGGAAACAAAGTCCAGGGAAGGAGCTGCTGTGATTGTCCCAGTGAGAAGTGACAAGAATCTGAGCCAAGGCCATGCAGTAGGGTTGAGAGCAGGAACATTCAGAGGTAGCATTTCACAGGACTAAAACCAGTCCCGTGATGAGGGAGGAGGATTGCTGGATGACTGTGATGCTTTTAGTTTGATTGCGTGTGAAGATGGAGGGACACCACTGGTGCCGGGTGGGGGTCGGGGGAGTGTAGGTCTAGGCCAAAGGGTAGGAGAAGTGAGGCAAGCATTGCCAGGACCAGAGGGTTGGACCACAGTTTTAGCAATGATGCTGTGAGTTGCATTGCCCCTCTACTAATAGCAAACCCACATTTCAAATTAAATTAAAACATTTTTAGTTTAGCTCCTTCAAGTGGACCCACACATGTATTCTTTACTAGTTATTACTGAGAATGACTAAGTCTTATAATTGAGCTGAAAATAATTGGCCGCCCATACTTGCTAGGTTGGTTACTAAGTATTGCCTGGGTATTTAAGTAACGAAAGGGAGTTGTGCTCTTTCCAAATGTTAATTTTGAGGACTACAGATGGTAACCATCTGTTAGATGACTAGCATTTTACAATATTTGATTAGCACTTTTTATAGTTTGGGGAAGCCTGCCAGTGGAGCAGGTTGGGGGCTTTGGTGGTATGTCCTGCGTGGTCACCTTTGGAGAGCTTGGGCACCCTCATTGGCTGGCCTGGTAGTTGACAATTCCTAGCATGAGGGCCTTGAGGAGGCCTTGCTGGAACCATTGGGTCTCATCATGAAAGTAAAATTGGAAAGTTGATATTTGTCCACCAGGTGTGGGTTGCAGGTGACAAAACAAACAAACAAACAAAAAACCCAAGCCACTTTGGTAAGAGAGGATGAGTTGGTTGTAAGCAATGAAAAGTGTAGGGGTGGGGGGGTCAGTGCATTTTTTACTTTGTGGTTTCTCTTGGACTCTCAGCTCTGTGCCTGCAGCCTCCGACTTCTAGAAGAGGCAGCATGATTCAGGACACTAGGGGGCAAGTCCTCTTGGCATGAAGTATTGTGGGATGAGGGGGAGTGAAAAGCTGGATTTTTTCCCTCTGTCTTGTAAAGCTGTCAGGATTAGTTCTGACTGGATCAGCCTCCATCATGTGCCTGTCTATGATCAATCCTAGTGCCTGTGTGAATTGGTCAGTTGAAAACTGGGGAGTGGCAGCTGGAGTGGCATAGGGGGCTGTTACTAGAGGTGGGGGTAGGAGGTGGCGCTAAAACCATGGAGATGGCTAGTGGGGTATTGCTGAGGGCCACAGAGGGAGGTGCTTCTGAAAGCAGCTGCCTAAAGAGTTTCCCTTTGTGGTGTTTTAAATTTTTTTTTTTCTTTTTAAGATTTCTTTAGATCTATAAAGAGGAGGAGAGGTGCAGAGGAAGCTCCTGCTGATTCACTCCCCAAGTGGCTGCAACAGCTGGAGCTGTGCTGCTCCAGAGCCAGAGCTCAGAGCTGTTTCTAGTCTCCCTCGCAGGTGCAGAGTTCCAAGGCTTTGAGCCATCCCTGACTGCTTTCCCAGGCCACAAGCAGGGATGTGGATGGGACACAAACTGTTGTCCATATGAGATCCCAGTACATACAAGGCGAGGACTTCAGCCACTAGGCTGCTGTGCCTGGAGCCCCCCTTTGTGGTTTAAGGGCATTCTGGTTTTGTCTTTCTCGTTTTCATATGATTTTACAACATGAGGGCCAGTCTCTTCATCTTCCTTTTAACTCTGTCTCTGAGAAGGAAAGTCTGTATGCAGAGAACAAAACAGATTCCTTCGCTTCCACTATACAGTGTGAAGCCTGCTGAGGGCAGGTGCTCTTCCTGGGGTAGGCCTCAGGCACGGCAGCTGATGGACTGCTGCCCAGTGTGGGAAGCAGTGTGGTGGTGCCAGGGGAAGGACGCAGTGGTTTTTACTGTCTGTGGGATGAACAGCCAGGAAGGCTTCCTGGAGGAATGACCCCAAGCTGGATCAGGAAGGGTGAATATGGTTCTCCACAGGGATGAGGTAGAAAGGGTCCACCACATCCCAGCAGGTGCATGTGCAGGAGTACTAGGCGATATACTCAGTGACCTGAGCCATTTGGGAGAAGTTCTGGGGCCAACCAGTTCCAGAGCCTGTTTGATGGGAGGCAGGGACATCACACTGGGTGCCAGGCAGAGGTCCAGGCTGGGGCTTGTCAGGCAGTCAACACGGAGAGAGGTGTGGTGATGGACTAGGGGACACTTAGTCAAGGGCTAACAAGTACTGAACGTTCTAGAAGCTACTATTTAAAAAAAAAGCTATGCTCTTCTAATTTCCTTCAAAAAAGAGTTATGAGTTCTTTGGAAAGAGCTGGTATGATACAGGGGGTAAAAATACAGGCCTCACAGATACAAAAAGCCTGCTCTGTAATTCCCTTCATAGAGAACTTGAGAAAATACATATCAGGCTATTGTGGCAAAAGGCAGATGTGTGATTCCTCAGTAGTAAGGAAGTGGGGACGACAGAGGGAAGGATCATAAGAAAGCATGAGGTGACTTTTGAAGATAGTGGCTGTGTTTACAGTCAATTATGATGACGATATCTCAGATATTCACATATCCTCCGAACCATCAAATTGTGTGCAGGTTAAGCCAGTGCTTAATGATGCCAGCATTCCATATCAGAGTGCTGGTGAGTGACCAGCAGCTTTGATTCAGATCCAACTTCCTGTCCAGCCATCCAGTGAGGCAGTGGATGTGGTTCGGTTGCTTGGGCCCCTGATCTCCCTGTGGGAAACCTGGGGGCAGTCTGGGCTCCTGGCTTTAGCCTGGCTCAGCCCTGGCTGTTAGAGACATTTGGAGAATTAATCAGTGATTGAAATATTTCTCTCTTGTTCTGCCTTTTATTTATTCATTCATTATTTTTTAAAGATTTGTTTATTTTTATTGGAAAGTCAGATATACAAAGAGGAGGAAAGACAGAGAGGAAGATCTTCCATTCATTGATTCACTCCCCAAGTAGGTGCAGTGGCCGGAACCGAGCTGATCTGAAGCCAGGACCAAGGAGCTTTTTCCAGGTGTTCCAGGTCTCTCACTCAGGTGCAGGGTCCCAAGGCTTTGGGCTGTCCTCAACTGCTTTCCCAGGCCACAAGCAGGGAGCTGGATGGGAAGGGGGCCACTGGGACACGAGCTGGCATCCATATGGGATCCTGGCACATGCAAGATGAGGGCTTTAGGCACTAGGCTACCATACTGGACCCAAGTTGATAATTTTAAAAACTTATTTTCATCTACTAAAAAGGCCCAACTTGTACACTTTAAATATGTACAGTTGATGGTCCACTGTGAGGGGAACTTCAGAAAGTTTGTAGGAAAAAGGAATTTGGGGCTGGCATTATGGTATAGTGGATAAAGCACCATCTATGATGCCAGCATCCCATATGGACACCAGTTCTTGTCCAGGTTGCTGCACTTCTGGTCCAGTTCTCTGCTAATGATCTTGGAAAAGTAACGTTATGGACCAAATACTTGAGTTCCTGCCCCCCACATGGGAGATTTAGAAGAAGCTCTGCTTTGGTCTTCCCCAGCCCTGGCCATTGAAGCCATCTGGGGAGTGAACCAGTAGATGGAAGATTTCTCTTCCAAATAAAGCTTTAAAAAATTGGAAGTAAAAGATGTTAATTTTGGTGCAAAACAGTAATAACAGAGGCAGTTTTCTACTTTAATTTTTTAAAATGTATTTTTTATTATTTTGGAGAAAGATGGAGATTTATTTTCGTTGGAAAGGGAAATTTACAGAGAGGAGAGACAGAGATCCCTGTCCACTGGAAGTGGATCAGCGGGAACACAAATTGGCACTCTCATGGGATCCTGGCAGATGCAATTTGAGGATTTAGACACTAGACCATCACACCAGGCCCTGAGAAATTGCCACTGCATCAAATACCTGCCCAGGATACAAAAAAGTTGAAATTCTTTCATAGTTTTTCCGTAAGATGAATTTTCCATGAGTTATTTGTAGACCTCTCTATACTTCCATATACTTTTTTTTTTAATGTTAGTTATCTATTTATATGAAAGAGTGACAGAATTCTGGGCTGGGTCCCTATATGCAGCTGCTTCTTAGGCTCAGAAGGGCTGCAGGTCTGCTGGGCAGCTCGTTAGCACAACCTGGGACAGCAGTCAGAATGTCCAGCTCATGGGTCCTATTACACCCACTGAATCATGTAGACTGACTTGCTAAGGCCATTGTGGGTGGGACTTGAAATTCACTGAAGACAGCAAGCTAATCCTTAAGTTGATAATTTTGTCTGGCACATAAATGAGATTATTAATATTTCAGATGGCCCTGCAGCATAGAGGTTCCCCACCCCTGTGCTAGGCAGTTTGGGTGGGCCTAAGACTGGGCATTTCTTTTTTTTCTTTTTATTAATTGTATTGCATTATGTGACACAGTGTTATAGGCATTGGGATTCCCCCACCCCTCCCAGACTTGGCATTTCTAACAGGGCAATGCTGGAGCTGCAGGTTCAGGGTTGCACTTGGAGTAGCCCTGCTAGATACTGACCTGTTGTCTGGTGCCTGCCCTGGCTTGATGATTTAAGAGAGGTCTATCTGTCTCCCTTGCCCTGCCTGTCAGTGCCACCTCCCACCAAGTCCCTGGAAAAGAGCTCAACAAAAGACCTCAAGGCTGAGGTCATGCATGTCCCCTATACCGCCCTTGGTCCCTGTGGCTCTGCTCTGGACTGGGCTTCTGCAGGGCTGAACACCTAGCCCCAGGCTCTGGAGCAGGTTCCATGGGGGAGACCCCCGAATGTCCCTGCACTGCCTCTGGCCTGCTCCTCTGAGGGTTGGATGCTTGAGAAGCAATGCTCTGTGTTTTCCAGGGACAGAAGTCTTCACACATGGCCCCACTGCCGGGGGCAGAGCTGGTCCAGAGGCCACTGCAGCTCTACCGATACTTGCTGCGCTGTTGCCAGCAGCTGCCGACCAAGGGCATCCAGGAGCATTACAAGCATGCTATCAGGCAGGTAGGAGCAGGGAATGCTGGGACTGGGGGGCTTCTTCAAGGGGGCAACGTGAGGGGTTGGAGCCCAGGGTCAGGAGACAGTGTAGAAGGGCCACAGGAAGCCCATGCTGGGAATCCAGCCTAGCTCCTGTCTGTCCAGGATACATCATGCAACTCCCAGCTCCTTGCCAGGGCCTGAATAAAGCAGACAGCTCAGCGGACAAGCACAATAGAGCATGGACACAACTTCATGTGACAGGCATCCCAGCCAGTGATGCACAGCCTGATGTGATCGTGAGAAACCATCAGGGTGTTTAGCACATCACTTCCTGGCTGCTTTCAGCAAAAATGCCAGCATCTTGAAGCACAAAGACAGGCAGAAGAACTACTGTGTAAAGAGCTGTGATAGTTCTGGAACCTGGACCAGACAGAAAAGATTTCTCTGTAGGACATTACTGGGGCAACACATGACACTGGAATAGGTGCTGTCGATTAGAGAACGGTATCATATCAGTGTTAAACTTTCTGAGTCTAATTCTGGTTCTGTAAGGGGGGAAATTTTTGTCAGGAGGAAATATGTATGGACGGAGTTAAAGGCATCAAGGCTGCAACTCATTTTTCAATGCCTCTGGAAAAAAAGCCATGAAAAAGCAAAAGATGAAGCAAGTGTAGCAAAGTGTTAGCAATTGGTAATTCCGGTTAGCTTTTTTTTTTTTTTTGAAAGATTGGGACCTGTCTACAGGTTCACTTTGCAACTGCCTGCAACAGGCAGACCTGGGCCAGGCTGAAGCCAGGAACTAGGGACTTCATCAGGATCTCCAGTGCTGGTGACAGTTACCCAGGCACTATCCATCACTTCCTGCCTCCCAGGGTGCATCCTTGGAGATAATAGGGTGGATTGAGTAACTGACCTTCTGTTGTCCATCTGGGAGACCTGGCTTTTATATTAGTGCCTAATGACTTTGGCCTGGTCTGGGCATTTGGGAAGTGGACCAGCAGATGGGAAATCTGTATGAAATAAAGTTTAAAAAAGAAAAAAAAAGCAAAAACTCCCCAGCAGCTCATGCTCTGGCTCGGGCTTTACTGAATCCACCTGAGTCACCTCCCACTCACCTCCCTTCTCCATGTGCCCTTTCCCACTGGGCCAAAAGACAGTCCTGCTCCTTGCTGTTGCAAAGCCTTTGCAGAAGGCGCACCCTGGCAGGAATGCTTCCTGTGATCAGTAAATCAGACTCAATGCTGGAGCCCTCCTCTCTGGCCCAGCGTGATTTGGGGCAACTCTGGGGCCAGGCTTCCTTCTTGCAGTTGCCATGCTGGCAGGAGTGGAAGCTTCACAAAGAGAACAGCCTTCAAGTGAGGTCGCTTAGCAGCACACTTCCCATCTCTGAGCACAAGAGCCCCAGCTGTTGTCAGAGGATGGGCAGGATGCTGAGTAGAAAGACTGAGCAGTGTACCTGAGCTCAGTGTACTGAGCAGTACAGCAGTGTGCCTTGCGGTCTGCTCTGTGAATTTTGCCTGGCCATCATTTCTTTATTCTTGTACTGCCAGAGTTTCCGGGTTCATTCGGATGAAGACAACCCTGAGAGAATCCAGCAGATTATTAAAAGAGCTATTGAAGATGCCGACTGGATCATGAACAAAGTAAGTGCTGCCTCCATTGCCCAGCAGGCTGATGATGGCTTTAATCTCTGTGACCACTAGGAGTCGCCTCTGCCCAATAGTTGGAAATGGTCCATGCCTGGGTCGGCTCACTCTCCTCCCCTAGGAGCTGAAAAGTGATCCCTTCTGGCAGCATTTGTTTTTGGCAAGGTGTGCATGTGTGTTATCCTTAATCACTTCAAAGATTATTTGAAGGAGAGAGAGAGAAATAAACAGAGCTCCCACCCATTGGCTCACTCCTAGCATGCTTCTGTTTTGGGTCAAGAGGTCATAACAGAGCTGGGGAACTTGATCTAGGTCTCCCACATGTGTGACAGGGACCTAGTTATGTGGACCATCCCTGCTGTCTCCCATGGTGCACAGTAATGTTCATGTCTGAAGGCAGATTTTTGCCAGAGGTGCCCAAGGGGTGCGCTGAGACAACCAGGAGGAGGAAAAGGCTGGGGCAGAGCTGGCAGCAGTTTGGTGCCTGGGCAGTGAGTGCCCTGTCTGTGGGAGGCCAGCCTTAGGCAGGGGACCTGAGGGTGGAAGGGAGTGAGGCAGGGCTGCAGGTGGCTACTTGGTCCATGAATTTTGGTGTTAGTGACCCAGGGAACTGGAGGGCTCCCCTCTCCTTGTACTTGTAAGTCTGAATCTCTAGGGTTGGGGCCCAGGACACTTTTTTTTAAAACTGATTGAACTCTGAGCTGCTGGGGTCCTTCTCTACCTAAGATGTTTTTTCCCCAAAAAATAAAACGGAGAAGGATGAAGAACCTCACTTTTTGGTCTTGATTTCCTCAGCTTCTTTGATATCCTCCCTTCCCACTCCTCTCAGCTGCCTTTTCCGATTTAAAAAGATGTCTGGTGCCTCCTGCCTGGGTCCCTACACCTCCAGAAAACCATGCAGGAGCCAGGCAAGACCTGGATCATGCAGTTCTTGAGGTTCCCACTCCAGTCCTCTCTCCCTGGTGGCTTCCTTCACCATCTTCTTCCCTCTCTTCTTGCAGTATAAAAAGCAAAACTGAGAGACCAAGGCCCAGCGAAGAAGCTGTTCTAAAGCCTCTTGCAACTGAGAGACCTCTCTTCTGGAACCAGTCTGCAGCCTGTGTTCTGAAACATTGACCAGCTTTGTAGGTTGGGACAACCAGCAAGCAGGTGTGACACGCTGGTGGTGTCCCCAGCTTCTCTCAGCGCAGCAATGTTGCCAGCATCCTTTATGTTTGCTATTCCAGCCAATCATGACGTGAGGTTTGGAGAGAACATGATTTTCTTCTGTTTCTTCTGTGTGTTTTTCATCTTTGTCTTCCTGCTCTTCTACTTTTCTCTGAAAGTGATTCATTTGTTCTGGCGGTCACTCTACCATTCTTGGAATCCTAGAGTAGATGTGCCCACACACAGCCGTCCGTGCAGTGGGAACAGGATGGGTGTCAGTATTGTCAGAACCAGACAGCTCTGGATTTGAGTCCCAGCTCCGTGGCTTTAACAGCGATGGCCGTCGGGCTCTGAGTCCTTCCCTGGGGGCACGAGGGCAGGAGAAGCTGAAGTGCCTCTCACAGAGGATGGTCCATGGTGGTGCCGCTAACGTCCCTCCCTGGAAGTCGTCCCAGCTGCTCCCTCTTCTACTGCCCTGGTGCTCTGGGCATCTCCACTGTAACATGTACTGTGTCAGGCCTTAGTAATTTGTGAACTTGTCCTGTTCCTGCCTGTGGCCCCTCAGCCCTCATAGGTGTTCCCTACCCAGCTGTCTATACCCAGGGAAGTGGCAGGTGTGGCCCTGGCCTTCAAAAGTGTGCAGGAGGGCACCTGGCATGGTAGCCTAGTGGCCAAAGTCCTTGTCTTACACGCACTGTGATCCCATATGGGCACCAGTTCTAATCCCAACGACCCTACTTCCCATCTAGCTCCCTGCTTGTGGCCTGGGAAAGCAGTGGAGGACGGCCCAAGCCTTGGGACTCTGCACCCTTGTGGGATATCCAGAAGAAGTTTCTGGCTCCTGGCTTCGGATCAGCTCCGCTCCAGCTGTTGTGGCCACTTAGGGAGTGAATCATCGGATGGAAGATCTTTCTCTCTGTCTATTCTCCTCTCTGTATATCTGACTTTCCAATAAAAAAAAATTAAACAAATCTTTAAAAAAAAAGTGTGCAGGACCCGTGAAGTAGTAACCATGGAACCTCTGCAGCCTGGCTCTGTGGAACTTGCTGTCTGTCTTCAGTGACCCTTCCCTTTGCTGCCTCTATGGATGCATGGGGTGGGAGAGGAGAGGAACGCAGTTCAGGAAGATCCAGCCAGATGTGCATGGAGCAGCGTGAAGGTGCAGATGGATGCACCCTGGGGCTTGCATGTTCCTCAGGGCATTCTGCTGTTGGGAGGAGCTTGCACTGTTTATGTCCTTGCGTCTTTGTGACTTCAGGTGACTCAAATATGATTATGTGTATGTGACTAAGAAACAATGAAGTAAGTGTATCTATTTGTGAAAGTTCTTATCTTCTCAGCTGAAAACATTCATTCGTTCCTCCCTGAGCAGATGTCTCCCTGCTGAATGCTGTCATCATGGGTACCACGGGCTTAGTGGCATGGCATACCTCACACCCAAGCTGCCCACAGGGGATCCTTCCTCAGAGGAGATGACCAGGTGCTGGTGACATGGCTAGACAAGAGCCAGTGAGGTCTGTGTTGGCCTGCAGGTGAGGGCAGGCTGAGGGGCTGCAGGTCAGACACAAGCTGAACCCATCCCCCATCCCACCCCTCTGAAACCTCATGACTACCAAAGTGCAATTGTTTGGATCCAAGTCATTTGACCAGCAGGAAGATGTGTGGTAGGGTGGCCGGGGCTTAGGTGAGAACTGGTGTCCCTTGCTGTGGCCTGCCCCCCAAGTGGTTCCCTGATCATCCGTTCACTGCTACATCTTGATCCAGGTGTACTGATTCAGCTGGGCATCCAACAGTGATGCTTAGCTTGGGCATGAGGCTGGCCTGTGAGGGACCCGAGGAGAGCCACGCTGGTTAACTGTGTGTTGACTGCTCTTCACCAGTCCCTGTGAACCTGGCCAGGTTGGGGTGCACACTGGGGAGTGCAGGTGGGTGCCCTCAGACAGGACAGGCAAGATTCCAGGAGTTCTGTCCTCAGGCTCCTGCCCCCTGTTAGTCCTGCAGTGGGTTGAGGGGGCTGGGCAGGCCCTGAATGCACACAGTGGGGAGTTTCCAGAGTTGCTGCCAGCAGGTGGAAGAAGGAGACCAAGACTTGTTGACTGAAGGGGGCAGGGGCTGTGGGTCCAGACAGACCTGAATGTCAACCCAGCTGTGTCGCTCAGTAAGAGCGTGATGTGGTGGGTTATTTGTTAAGCTGTCAGTCACTCTCCTCTGTCTCATCTCACTGGGACTGGCTGTTCATTCCATGTGCAGGAAGACCAGGACAAGGTCCTTCAGTGGACGGTGAGCTTGTGGCCTTCTCTCCCCTCATCTTCAGTTTCCCTGCTCACTGATAAAAGAATGGGTCGGTCCTTTCTCTCCCTGGTGTCCATAGGCATGATGCCAGCAGGAAGGCATTGGTGTCTGTTGTCCACACCCGGACTCACACTCTCTAGTGTTCGTGTGGGCTCTGTAGCACAGATGCGTTGTGACATTTCTGGGTCTGGCTGTGCAACAGAAGGCAGCTGCTGGTAAGACACTTGCACGTCCTCCCTTGAGAGACCCTGCCATTTGCAGCAGGTGATTCCTGGTATAACACTGGGTCTTGGGACCTATCACCAGCACATGCTTCCTAGGATGGAGCTTGCCATGCCCTGGAGTTTCATTTGCTGCCCCTGTTTAATTTATTCATTTGAAAGACAGTGACAGTAAGAGCAGGGAGAGAGAGCTTCCCTTCACTGTTCATCTTTTGAAGTCTGCAGCAGCCAGGAGTGGGCCAGGCTAAAGCCTGAACCCCAGAATTACCTGCAGGTCTCCCACATTGGTAGCAGGGACCCACGTATAGGACCATCATCTACTGCCTTCCCAGGTACATTAGCAGGGGCTGGAAAGGAGGTGGAGTAGCCAGGACCCAATATGTGATGCCAGTAGCAAGTGTTGGCTTAAGCCACTGTGCCACAACACAGGCCACATGCACCCGTTCCAGTCCTAGTTGAGCACTTACTGTCTGTGTGGCCATTCCTCTAGGCAGGAAGGAACTCAAAGCAGATGGGGAAGAGAAGTGTCAATGCTCATCAGGCTGACCAGTACCATTCGCACATAGTATGCCATCCTGATGCAGGCTGATATTTTTCTTCCCAGTATCTCTTTACACTTTTTCTTTAGGTTTCTATCCTCCTTATCCCTAGACAGAAACTCAAATAAGCTTCATAAGCTTTGGCCCATCCTCTGTTGCTTTCCCAGACCACAAGCAGGGAGCTGAATGGAATGTAGAGCAGCCAGGACACGAATCAGTGCCCATATGGGATCCCAGCAGATGCAAGGTGAGGATTTAGCTATTAGGCTATTGCGCCGGGCCCGGTGAATTCCCTTTAGAGCAGAGTTTACAGCCTCCTGAAACAGAGAGTGGAGATCAACACGAGCATCCAGAGCAAACAGCCACCCTGTGGTCAGCTGTGGGGTCAGCGGGGGATGACCTTGAGAATCCTACGGCCTTGAGCTACCTGTGGAAGCTGGTAGTGCCTAGAGGAAACGCACCCTGGGAGCATTGGAGTCAGAAACTGGATGACCCATGTTACTGATGGAATGTCATTTTTCACTTAAACAGTGACTGGCAGACTGGATCTTCAACCTTAGTGATTTGGTAGACATTTTCTCAAACATGAAGGGAGCCTGTCAGTTCTGGAAAAACTGACAAGACTTTTGTCAGTTGAAAAATATTGAGCTGTCTGTTTCGGGCCAATGAGTTCAGTAGGATCGTCGGCCTAAAGTTCATAAAATGGTTTTGGTTTTTGTGTTGTACTTCACTTGGAAAAAACTGCCATTTATTGAATTTTGGTATAGCATCACAACTATTTAAAACTTTATTTAAAAATGCCTCAATTTCCCAAATGTCTAACTCTATGAGGCTGGATTTTCTACATACCTGAAGATACTTGAAAAAATTAGTGGAGAAAATGTTACTGAAAGGAAAGTTTGCTTAGAGCTGAAAACAATTTTATATCTGTGCATCTTTCTTCAATAAAAACTTGTGCCTATTTAATTTCCTTGGAAGACAGAGATTGACAGTAGGCATCTGCTGGTTCACCATCTGAAGGCCTGGAGTAGCTGAGGCTGGGGCACGTCAGAGCTGAGAGTCACAGACTGAGGAATTCCCAAGTGGCATTTTTACTGCTGTGTCTAATGCCTGTCCCACATCAGTCGTCATGCTACGTGTTTTCCATGAACTTTTTGAAAACGACTCGTATTTTAGCTAAGACAACATATTGCTGCAGAAGTGCTGTCTTCATGAATTGACAACAATGGAAAAACGTGCTATTCCTATCCCAGGTATTGTTTTTGTTTGTTTTTGGTAGAATTGTTACTCGTAAACTGTCTTCATGTGGGGGATGACTACATACCACAGCTGAATACTATTCCCAGGTTCAATTCCCAGCTCTAGCTCCTGACTCCAGCTTTCTGCTAATGCACACCGGGGAGGCAGTAGTGGTGGCTCAAGTAAATGGGTTTCTGGGTTTATTTTAAATTGACAATGAATTACTGTAGTTAACATTTTTTAAAAAGATTTTTTTATTTTTTATTGGAAAGTCAGATATACAGAGAGGAAGAAAGACAAAGATCTTCCATCTACTGGTTCATTCCCCATTAGCTGCAATGGCGATCCAAAACCAGGAGCCAGGAGCTTCTTCTGGATCTCCCTCACAGGCTCAGGATCCCAAGGCTTTGAGCCATTCTCCACTGCTTTCCCAAGCCATAATCAGGGAGCTGGATGGGAAGCTGGGCCCATATGGGATCCCAGTGTGTGCAAGGCAAGGACTTTAGCCACTAGGCTACTGCACAGGGACAAGTTTTAAAAATTTTTTAAAAAGTATTTATTTGTTTGTAAGGCAGAGTTAGAGAGTTGGAGGGACAGAGATCTTCCATTCACTGGTTCACTCCCGAAATGTCCACAATGTTCATGGCTTGCCTATACCAAAGCCAGGAGCCAAGAGCTTCATACAGGTCTCCCATGTAGGCTCAGGAGCCCAAGCACTGGGCTAGCCTCTGCCGCTTTCCCAGGTGCATTAGCATGGAACAGGATTGAAAGTGGAGCAGCTGGGATGTGAATCTGTGATCACATGGGATGTCAACATTGCAGGTGGAGGCTTAACTTACGGCACCTTAACGCCAGCCCCCAGTTTTACTTTCTGAAATGACATAAAAATATAGCCCATATAAACAATAACTCCCTGGGACTCTTAATGTTATTAATGAGTCCTCTTTATGTTATTAAGATTCCTGAGGCTAAAAAGTTTGAAAACTGTTTTTCTGCCATGCAGTTTGTTAGGTCTTTTCTTTAAATTTTGAGCCTTAATTTGGATCTTGATTATATTTTGTCCTACTGGTGTCAGCCCTTACGGCCTACATCTCAGAATCGTGTGGAAGGCGCATCTGTTGTTGAGAATGTAAATCACCTCCATAGCTTCATCTCCCCTGCAGGTGTGCCGTCCATCCATCCAGTGAACACTGAGCACCTTGCCTGTGTGGAAAATTCCATCTATTCCCCATCCTGACTGGGTTATGAGTCATTTAATTTGTTCCTCTTTCTTCATCTCTATGGTTTCTGGAAAGTATGGACTCAGTTTCCGGCAGTTGTGATCACCTACAGGATTCTGCCGTCTCTTTATGCCTCAAATGAAAAAGAAATTGCTTCTAAAACCTGTTCTCTTCTCAAGTTCTTGGGCTCACAGTTGGG